TCCAACCTTAATGATTCTGTAATTCTATGATCTCCAGTCTCTATACTGTCACTCTGTAATGTTTGCAAAAATTATGCCTATTGACATACACTTTCAAAAAGACAACAAATAACTTTAGCTTGACTTCCTAGGACAACAATTAAAATATATGCAGATCTAATTGAATTTCTCAGCTTTATTTCAAAAGGACAGATGGATAGGACAAACTTCTTAAAAAGCATTTCCTAGTAAGAAAAGCCTTTTTTTTTTTTTTTTTCAAGGCAGCAGAAAGCAATGCCTGCCAGAAGGCAAACTGCAGAAATATCCTAAATGTTTACTTAGTGTGTGAGATGCCATGCATAGGAATAAGGGGAATCCTCTAAAGGAGGCCTTATTAGTAAAGAAAGAAGGGGTATGCATGACAACCCTTTCTTATTTACTCAGTGCCTTCTCCCAAGATGCTCAAAGGGTCTATAAGACTCGGGAAGCAACATGGTGAATCAGTTACACAGTTGAGCCTTACTGAGCTGTTTTTGCAGAGTTTTTTTCATCCAAGGACCATCAGCCAATTATCTCCTTGTGCTTTTGTCTGATACACTATTGTTAAAGAAAGGGGTGGATATGGTGTTTGTAACTCAGCTCCTCTTTTATTGCCCTTTTCTTTCTCCTACGATAGTTTAAAGCAAGACACCTGAACACTTTTCCTTCCAAACAGAGTTTAGAAATTGCATAGTCCCATCTCCTCCCTGTTCTTGGGTGTTATTTTGGACTGCCAACAGAGAGGGAGATAGTGGCAGCTGCTGGCACGGCAGAGTCAATGCACTCCTCAGGGGCTGGTTTGCCTTCATGCCGGTAGACAAATTTCAGCCTGTATTTGTGCTTGGGATTTCCCTGACCCATGTGCAGGACCTTGCACTTGGCCTTGTTGAACTTAATGACATTTGCACAGGCCCATCTCTCAAGGCTGTCAGGGTTCCTCTGGATGGCATCCCATCCCTCAGGTGTGTCAACTGCACCACTCAGCTTGGTGTCATCTGCAAACTTGCTGATGGTTGCACTCGATCCTACAGTCTATGTCACTGACAAAGATGTTAAACAGCGCCGGTCCCAGTACCAACCCCTGAGGACCACCACTCATCACTGGTCTCCACGTTAGTTGTTTCTTCCTAACTTGCATCAACCCCTCGCTTGTGCTAAACATAGTTAGCTTTGATGCAAGGTGTGTGTTTTAGTAATAGAATCACTAGTAACCATTTCTTTATACTTCATAAGAGTAATGTTTCATGAAATTAGAGATATGTAATCCAGCGTAGTTGGTTAGAAGGTGTTTTGAGTCAAGGTACTTGAACAAGCCAAGTTCATCAATAAAAAGGTACAGGCTCTTTTGGGGAGTGAGTCAGCATCTTCTGCCAGACGAGCAGAGAAGACGTCTAGCTTAGTCAGATTTTGGTGCAAGCTGGGCGTCTGGAGGCTGTGGAATATCCTTGGAGGATAAGTGACTGGGTTTTGGTTTCTTCGTCGATAAGGTGTGTAGTGCTACTGCAGGTCAAATGTGATGTCAAACAGTTTATCTTGAACCCCCATGAAAGCTTTAAATGATCCCGTTTTACTTTGTGTTTGAACTAGACTGAGTGAATATGTGTACTTTTCATTTTTGGGATGGGTGGAATATGTTCTTAAGATGTACTAATTTGGTCTCTTTCTGGTGCAACACTCCATTCCCATCATTGTTTAGATACAATCCTTGACAGGTAGTACAAAAACGGAGGAAAAAAACAAGCTGGGAAAAAGGAGCTAGTAAGCTGAGTATTTCAGTAGTAATATCTTTTCTCCTTCTCTCCAGGTACCAACAGAATAAGCCACGCAGTTCAAGGGGCACATGAGGGTGGAATATTTGCGCTGTGTATGCTGCGAGATGGCACATTAGTATCAGGAGGTGGAAAAGACCGAAAGCTGATATCTTGGAATGGAAATTACCAAAAACTTCACAAAACCGAGGTGATAATCACCTATCTTTAAATTACTCTGCTACTCAAAATGAAATACCATTTCAGTTACCAGGTCATTCCTGTGATAGCCTACTCATTAAAATAATATTTCCTCTTTAACACCTAGGGTAATTGGAAAACAAATCTCGTGTTCTTACTTTTTTGTATTATTTCTTAACTTTCTTTACAATTAATAATGTGAGGTCATTTTTTTTTACTTCAGAGTATTACAATATTAAAAAAATTTTGTACTTCCTTATTTCCAAAATGATGTGAGGGTTTTTTTAGCACTTGTGTTTTTTCATTAATCACTTGGCTAGTGTTGTTGTTTATTTAAAAAGGAATTGCTAAGGTGAATTCAGTTGCTTTGTAGGAACTTAAAGCATGAAGGCAGAGTTTGTTGGGACAGAATTGCATGACTGTTATCATACTGAATGAGAAAGAACAATCAACATAAAACTCCAAGGAAGAGTTTCAGCTCTACTATATATTATTAAATGTTGCAAATATATATGCAACTAGAATGGCATGTCTGTTCTGGAAACTCAGTTTTTAACACAGCACAAGTAGCAGTCTTGTTGTGCTGTCTCTAACCGTGGCATCCGTGTTTTTCTCTTATTTGTTCATAAGGTGGTATTCCTTGTTATTTTAAATTTTACATCTTCCCTTGAACTTTATATTGGAGATTTGCACTGACTCTTTCAGAACCTAGGCTGCAGCTAAAGAAACATAGACTGCAGGAAAGTACTAGTGATACAAAGCCTGACGCTATCAGTGAGTGGAAATGCATAGTCTGATATCACAGCTACAATTAAATTATGATAGAGTTAACACAGCATGAAGGACCCTTTCCTGTTGTTTGAAATACTTGGTTTATCTGTACAAACGGAGTGTTCTGTAGGTAAGGATGTCTTCTCTTGTAGTATCATGAAGACAGTTACTGAGCTGATGAAAGTTGTTAGAAACTTTTGAAAGTCAGGCATATATGTTCATTTAATTTCTTCTCTGTGGAACATTTATAAAGATGCACTTGCTAGGCCATATGTCTCTAAAAATAGCAACACTTCATAAATTGTCTGACTTCTCTATCTGTTTGTCTGTTATGACCACAGATTCCAGAGCAGTTTGGTCCAATAAGAACAGTAGCAGAGGGAAAAGGGGATGTTGTATTAATAGGAACGACTAGAAACTTCGTCCTACAGGGCACGCTATCCGGAGACTTTTTCCCAATTACCCAGGTAAGCTGTTGCCTTACAAGAACATTTCCAAGTGTGTAATAGCAGTACAGGTATTGCTTAAAGTTATGTTTCATAAGTGTGCACTTATGCAATTTATTATTACAGTACTTTTGGCAATAAATAACATTATAAATATGCATCTCTCTAAGCCAATGTATTTCTGTAATGCTTTAATATATAGTTTGGTCATTTTAATGCTGTTTAAACATTTTTAGTTTTGACGGTACTGTCCTCCTTGTCAAGAAACATTTCTGCTTGTGTAGGGTCACACTGATGAGCTTTGGGGACTTGCAGTCCATTCCTCTAAACCTCAGTTCTTCACTTGTGGACATGACAAACACATTACGCTCTGGGATGCTACCACTCATCGTCCTATCTGGAACAAGATTATAGAGGTATAAATTTATTAAACACAACTCTACTCCTCTTATAGAACTTCTCAAGTAATTCGAGTTTTTCGTAAGATTATTGATTAAAAATATCTTAAAGTATTAACTGGAGGAAAAAAAAGAGTCATAAAATTTGTCTTTCTGAAAATGGACATAAAATTCTTAAAAACAAGAATTTAAAACCGTGGGTTATATGGATCTATATGCTGTATCATATAGAAGTGTACAGTGCTGTTGGCATTTATATATTTTTACTAGGAAAAGAACCACAGATACAAGGCTAGGAAATATTTACCATTTGAAAGGAATTCTGATCAGGATTACTACCACCATCCTGATAGTCAGAATTCAGAAGGAAAAGGTCTTTTTGGTGACATTTTTTGGCCACCTTAATTTATTTTCTATAATTTATTTGTATTTTTATATATCCTGTTCAGAAATAAACAAATGTGGGGTTTAGAATTTCACTTTCTGTCTCTGGTATGAAACTCGGTGCTTAGGTACTGCAGCAGTACATTGTGGGGGCTCAGTTTTATCCTGTACATAAGCACTCAGTTGTGTATCTGCAGACTCCTAATGGCTTTGTGGTGACATGTGATCCTGATTACTACATGCATCACTAGGAACTGATTTTTAAAGTATGTTTTTTGGACAGCTGATGACTTTTCTAATTATTTATCCATAAGACATTGGCTTATCTCCTAGAGGCAGCAGTGGTGCTTTTCTCTTTCTGTTTTGAGATGCCACTGTTACTTTGTTTTCAGTCAGTCTTCTCTTTTTTAATAGGTGTGTGAGTATGCTTTTTTGGAGATACATGTACTGATCACAACCACCAAGTTATTTCTCAGTCGTTTTTATCTGCCCTTTATACAGTGGAAAAGTTTAAAAATTTCTTCAGGAAAAAGAAAACAGCACCTGGTGTAGATACATATATCAAATACCCAGGTTTGCAAATTAAATTGTAGCCAGTAACTTATAGATGACCCTCATGTTGCTGACTAAAGTGTTTTCTGTGTGATAGAGTAAATAATCCTTTATAAGTTTATATGAAGTTTTGTAAATCTTAATTATGCAACTTTTTTCATAAGAAGATTGTTCATTTTCAGGCCTATTGATAAGAATTCTTGAATACAACTCATCTGCAGTAAGTGTATGTTCTTGCATCAGGTTGAAGCAGTCAACAGAACAGAATAGCATTTGCCAAACTGTCTCTCATAGTATCTCACTCCAGTAGTATGCACTTGTTCAATTATGGTTGCTTGGTGAATGTGGAAATTGGGATTTATTCTGTCTAACCAAGGTCATATGTTCTAAGGTCCATATTCTTGTTGACTTCTAAATGTAATTGGAGACCAAATCAACAGTTCCACTGCTCCAGAGATGGAGCTGTATTTTCACAGTTCAGTGCCTCAGTTTATAAAGACAGATTGGGCTGTAGTGTAAGAAATTAAAAGAAAGGAAAAGAAAAGTAGTTCTTTTAATGTAGAAAAAAAGGAAACCAATAATTCTAAGGGTTTAGCCTGAGAAGCAGGCAGATAATTGCATTTTCCTACCTCCTTATCATTTCAGGGTTTAAGGTATGTTAATATGATTTGGATTTAAAAATAAGCTGTCTCACCTTCAGTCTTTAGGAATACTGTAGGTGGGCCTCAGGGAAATGGTCAAACCTTGAGATGCACCAAAATCTTAATGTGCTTGCAAATCTCTTGAACTTCTACCAAGATGCCAAATGCAAGATCAAATAAGCACCATACACTTCGGCTACGAACTTCAGCAATAAAACATACTTGAGCAGTTACAAACCAAACTTTCCTGGGTCTGTCTTGGTAGACTCTCTAAGGAAAGATAAACCTGTGCCTTTTTTTGTTTTGAAATACAGCAATAGCAGTGTACTGTGGTGTGCAGTATGGAATATCAACACGCTAGGTTGCAGAAATCTTTCACATGCAATTCAGAGTGACTTGGAACAACGACATAACTAGAAAGTTTTACGTAGACCTTTCTGCTCTTCAGCATAGTTTTTTTTTGTGGAGACTTAATCTGATTATTTAGAAATCGTGCACGACTGGTTTTATGCAAGTCTTATTTATAAATAGCCTGAAGTGGAGAGTGAAATCATTGGTACCATTTTTTATGCTTTCCTAATAATTTTTTTATTTGTCGGAAAAAAGTCATGATGTCATTCAATTGCAGGTACTAATGTGATCCTTCACTCTGCTCAGTGTAAAGGTGCATGGTTTTGCATACTTGCATAACGCTTCCAAAAAGGCTGGAAGAAGAAGTAGTTAGTACTTCTGGTGTATTTCTCATTACGGGAACGAGATACTGAGGAGGGCCTATAGCCGTGAAGAGAAGTGAAAAATTTGGCACTTTGCTCCCTTGCAGTCTGAAGAAGAGAACATTTAGAAGTTTGGGTTGATAGTGAAACATCATTAGTGGAGATAATTACAATATGGGGAATAGGAACAAATCTATTAACCAGATAAACTGCTATCTCAGAAATAAAGTTAGTTAAGTAATCATCAACTCAAAAAAGGACATTCTTTCTACTGGTTTATCCTTTGTGTCCTTTGAAAAACAGAGCTGGAGTTTAGCTGATTATGACTTACCGTGAGCTTCAGTTAGTATTTAGATGCAGTTTTACAAATGCAAAAACTCTCTAAGAAACTGGTTGTTACTGAAATGTTTAAGAAACATTTTAAAAAAAAAAGCTTTATTTACCTTGATTCTTTTGAGAAGGTTGATGGCAACAGCAGCAGGACTATTAAGTTAGACTTAATTTTATATTTTTTTACACACTGCTTCGTTAAGACAAGATTTCTATTATCAGTCTTTACAATAATCTCCTTATTAACCACTTAAAATGTCTGAGACTGTTTCATAAAGCAGTGACTGATTATCTAGAGTAAATAAATCATTTCACGTTAACCTATTTTTGTCAGAGTTCTGTGTAAAGTCTTTTCAGTGCAGTTATGAGTACAAGTTACTGCTCAGATTAAATTCCCTGTTTGAACCTCTGGTTTATTCAAGAGAATATTTTAGTATTTACTATGAAATTATACTTAGAAGAATTAGCAAATTTCTTTTCTGGACTACTGTAGGGGTTTAGAACATATATATGGAAATCCTGCCTCTCAGCAATTCTTTGAAATTTCTTTAGAGTTAGTAACGTCTTTGAAATTAGTCACTCGTTTAAAATTAATGAGAATATCCGTTACACCTAAAATGGCTGCAATATGATACTGGTTTTGAATACAGAAAATCAAGGACATAAGCATTTTGTGAGATATATTGCTAGATTTTTTCACTTACATTTTAAAATTATTTTTGGCAGGTATCAGAAAAAATAAGCTATTTATTTTGGGACTTTCTCCTATAACTTGAAGAGTTCTGGAGCTCATTCTTTGAACAAGTATTAGAAAGAAAGTGCTTACCTTGGTTTTTAGGCATATGTTTAAATTGCAAGAAAAACACTGCAATTCTGCCAGGCTCCATAGTAATATACTATACAAAGTGAAATGTTCTAAAATAGCATATCAAAACAAGAAACCCAGTTTATGCTCTTAATCTCCCACTAAGCTACAACTGGCAAGTGCTGAAAACGGCGTTGGTCCCTGTAGAAGTTAAGCTTTTCCCCTCCGTGCAAAGCAATACATACCTTTGTTGAATAATGTCCTTGCTTGTCCTTTAGACAGTAGGTAAACTGCAGCTTTGATACTTAATTCTTAGGCCAGCTCTAATTTAATATGTTATTTTTATCTCTTACTTGTTTGTGATTTGTTGAGAAGCTGCCTTTGCCAATGTTATTGTTATGAAATCACTTGCCAAGTTATTTTTAGAGGGTGAAGAAAAGAAAACAGTGGCCTTGTATAGAGAGGAAAAAATCTACTGGGGAATATTTCAATCAGTTTAAAATGTTTTTTTCTGCTCAGTTTGTATTTAAAAAAAAAAACAAACCCCCAAAAAACCCAACAAGAGAGACTGTTCCTGAGGCAGATAACTGAACTGTGTTTTGTTATAACCTGGACTGGTAAAAAAAGTGTGCTTCCTTCTGAAACATTTTAGGATCCAGCACAGTCCTCAGGTTTTCATCCTTCAGCATCTGTTGTTGCAGTAGGGACGCTAACTGGAAGGTAAGATGCGCAGAGCAACACCTTGGGCACCAACAAACAGTACGTGATTTTTCCAGCTCATGTCCAAGTTCACGTTCTTGCCTTGAGGATGTATGCATGCAATATGGTCATCTCCTATTGATTCCGTTGAATTTCAGAGTGAAATTTATTTGTGTTGCCTCAGTGCCTAGAAACCCTAGTCTCGGGCCAGTGCCCCGCGTTTGCTGAGGGTTGCATGAGCACAGAACAAAGAGGTGGTTTCTGTCCTGAGAGAGCGGCAACCTCAGATCAGTGGGAGGAGATGGATTTGGACAGGGCAGGAAGCCTAGGTTAGCAGTGAGGTCATGCGTGGGAGCTGCTGTCACCATACCAATGACCTAAATGTAAAACCTTTGTGTCCGTCGTGGCAAAGGAGAGGCTAAAGGAGGAGTTTGAGATGATGAGTTAACCATGTAGATGCATACATAGATCTTCCCTTTAGGGCAACATAGAGGAAATCACATAGAAGAAGGTTGCTCGTTCAAAAATTTAACAAGTGGTTTATTATCTGTAATGCAGTAACATCCAGAGGCTCTAACAAAATTTTGGCAAATGTTCCACTGTGCTAGACATAGTGTAAAAAGGAATATTAAGAGACTTGTTCTGCCTTAAGAGTGTAAAGCATAAACAAGACAGACAAAACCAACGTGAAAAGTAGTATCTCCGTCTTACAGGGCAGGCTGAGCCCATGGTCACATAGTGGGTCAACGGCAGACCCCGGGTGTAGCCTTGGCTGTCTGTCACAGGAGGAAGGAGAGCCTTTGCCGTAACTTCATCCTCTCCTTTAATGTCACTTGAGGGCAGACTTTGCTGTTAGTATTGAAGAGTTGCATTTAACTGACAACATATAGAATGCTTATAGGTTATGAGCCAAGATTATTTCGGATTGTATATCAATCCTGAACAAAGGATTTACTTCAGTTACTAAATTTACTTTATTTACCAAATAATATTTTATTTCGTACTTTCTTTAGTAAATGAAGTAAATCAAAAGGAGAAGCTTTGAGAGGAATCGTTACTTTGCCTTTAATAATTTGATACAAGTATTGAAATGCAAATTTTATCTTTGTCCTTTCTGTGTGTTTCCACAAATTAAATTTTTGTTCATTAAAACTAATTAAATAAAATTAAATTTCTCAACAAATAAATTAATAAACTTAAAACAATTAATAACTAAAGCTAATCCTTCTATCAAAAGGGAATGGTCGTGATTCCTCCTTGTTTTTTTCATTTGCTCTAGGATTTAATGTAGGCATCAATTTAAACATCAGCATAGCGTAGAGGAGGGTCATTAAAGCAGAAAGGTCATTATATGTAGTGCTTGCTTTATTCTAACGCATGACACATAGTAAAACAGACTAAAAGCTGAAGACTGATATCAGGGTCAATGTCTGATCATTTTTCTGTTTAAAAAACATGGGAAAGAAAGTATCCTTCTGTTAAAGTAAAAATAAACCAAACCAAGTAGCAGTTGCTATTTTTCTTTTGCTGGTGTAAAACTTACGATATTTTGACAGGAGAAAAGTTGGTCAAGATTACAGTAGATTTAAACTCCTTATGGAATGATTTATTGGCCTCTTTCTGTATTTACAACAGGTGGTTTGTGTTTGACACAGAAACAAAAGACTTGGTCACTGTACACACAGATGGGAACGAACAGCTGTCTGTAATGCGTTACTCACCAGGTTTGAGAGCATTTATTTACTGGTTAGAAAGGATCAGGGAATTTTTTTTATTAAATTTGGGGTTGGTTTGTTTTAAAATAATTCCCCACTTACCATACTGAAGTTGAAAATAAATGTGCCGTGAAACATTGGCAACACTGAATGGGTGGTGTCTTCAGCTCTAGTTTTCTTTTCCCTCCCTCCTTCTCTTCCCCTCATGTTCAGTATGGTTTCACTGGGAAGAAGAAAAACAAAACGTGACTTAACTGCACAGGTTGTTGCAAATGGGGTAGCCCTAAATGGGCTGTAGCCACTTCCAGAAGTGTCGGGTGTTTTTAACAGTAATATTTGCTGCATTAACTTGCTATTTTGTAATCTTGAAACATGCATCAATTTGAAACTGGAAAAGAAAAACTAGAATTCTTTTTTCTTCATTTTTTTGGTACGAAGGCCTTTAAGAACAGCTCCCCTTGTCTGTGACACACTAAATTTTCAACATTAGCCTGAGATCTTTCTTACAGGAATAATTACAGTTCACTTTTATGTTTATAGATGGAAACTTCTTGGCAATAGGTTCCCATGACAACTGTATTTATATATATGGCGTAAGTGAAAATGGAAGAAAGTACACTAGAATTGGCAAATGTTCGGTAAGTAACCTTTTTACTCCTGGTTCAATATTAACAACTTAGAGTATGTTTTGTAGCACTGTATTAATACTGTCACACTGAGAGATACTGTTAGTGCAGTTAATACAGTATTTTTCTCTTTGTAGGGTCATTCCAGCTTCATTACTCATCTGGATTGGTCTGTTAATTCACAGTATCTTGTGTCTAATTCAGGAGACTATGAAATCTTATACTGTGAGTAAGAATTATATTTAGTCCTTTTGTGCAAACTTCAGGCAGTGTAATACAGTTTTAAAATTTAAATGAGACCATATAACTGCCAAGATAGACCATATGTTTTAATTCATCTGGTGCAATCAAAAATCTATACAATTTGAGAATTAAAAATGTTATCATGTGGTTGTGTGTGTTTGTTTTTTTGTCTTTTGTAGGGATCCCCTCTGCTTGTAAACAAGTTGTGAGTGTTGAAACAACGAGAGATATAGAGTGGGCCACTTACACCTGTACTTTAGGATTCCATGTTTTTGGTAAGTATCTTTCCTCTTACAAGTTCTTACCATTCTTATTATTAACAAACACTTGGATTGCCAACTTCTTCTGACGAAACATGACTATTCATATTTCAGGGAAAAATACAGAACTTCTGTTACGCCATTTTTCTTACAATCTGTCCTCTTATTTCAATCCAGAAAGGCTTTGATTTAATATTCTTGCTAGTTTCAAGTATAAATATTACATTACAACATAAGTGGGAGACAAAGAAGGAATCACACACTGCCCTTTCTCTCACACTAGAGCTGCTTCTTGTAATTTTTAATTTCAGGCACCAATTCTATGGAATTATCTTTTATTTAGGCAGCTACTGGGCCAAATCCCCTTACCAGAAGCAGTTTCATTTGCACTAGTTACTGTGCAAACACAAAATGGGTGACAGTCTCCGTCATTAAGTACTTATAATGTATTTTGATACAATATATAGCAATTAAATTAGGTGAAAGGAACGCAAGAAGAAAGAACAAAGACGTAACAAAATCAGGATGGTTTGTTTTCATGGAACTTCTCTTCTGCCAGCGTTGAAGGAGCTGCTTTCCCCAGTGTATGCATTCTACAACGCAAGCAGAACTAGACAGGTCGTTACAAAAGCTGAGTATGAGAAGCTTCAAGTTCTTGACTCCCCAAGATAAAACGAGGAAGCCAGGGTAGAAGTTCAGCAAAGAGCCTGGTTTAGTATAAGCAGTAAGCAAGGAAGATTTTCACCCATGTTTCAAGTAGAATAGATGCAGTGATGTGTTTGAAGGCAGCCAGAAAGGACATGTTTTTAGAGCCTCAAGATGGGATGGCAGTAGCCATATGCTGGGAAGACACATTCAAATGTTGTATAATTTAACTGACAAGCAGTGCTTGGGTATCACTACAACATGCAGATGTAGTAAAAGGAGGAAATCGTAGAAGACTGGCTGCGTGCTGACATGGGGGATGAATTTTTATTTATTTTTTTTTATATTAAATATAAAATATTTTATATTAACATATTGCTGGGGTTTGAGTATACCTGACACACAGTTATAGAGCTACAAAGGCTTTGCATTTAGCATCACAGGTTCAGATATTCGGAGATGATGAATACTGTAAGTGAGTATTCCTTACTTTATAATTTGGATTCATGCAAATTACAGTGCTATTAGGCTCCTTTTAGTGCATAGAGAGTCATAGGAGAGGAGTGCCACACTTGAGAGGGTTTTTTCCCCCCCGCCTTGCAGCAGATCAGCTTTTGGAGCCAGACTGTGGAACAGGATGATCTACTGGGCTGATGGAGAACTTGGGGAAACCACATGTACATTGTTACACTTGCAGTCCTCCATGCTGAGCTGGTTATTGTAAGCCAAAGCCACAAAGATGAGGAATAAATAAAAGTAGCTGCTAGTTTTAATAATTATCACAATTATCATTTTAGTGATGTCATAGAGATTGTGAAGATGTTCATCAAATGAATGGAATTTTAAAATAAAAGGATGTAACTTACTCAGAAAGGAAATGCAATGCACAAGGAGAGAACATGGTGCCATATGTACTGAGGATTCATAGCTATACAGTTAGGTTCAGACTGGGAAGTTACAAAGGTAATGCGTAATAATTATAGATGAAAAAAAGAATACTGATAGTGGTAAGGTTACACGGTTGCCCATCCTTCCAGAAAGATCAAATGCATGGAATTTATTTCATAGCTACCAGAATCAGTCAAATCATAGGAATTTCTGAGGGTGTCAGGTTTTAACTATTCCAGTGTCTTTGGGGAAAGGAATTGCAGTACAGGGGCTAACAAGCAAGTTCTCAAAATTCTTCTGATACAGGAAATGGATAAGCACCTAGAGAGGAATTTCTTCCTGATTTGATTCTGGGGAGTTGGAAAGAACTTACTGAGAATGTGAATGCATCTTGTGTAGGAATGACTGAGGAATTAGGGAGGTGTGCTCCTCGGTATAGGAAGGAAAAAGAGCAGTGAAATGAAAATAATGGACTTCATGGTGCAAACTGGAAAAATCCAAAGCCCTGTTAGGGAAGATCTGAAGTTGGAGAAGAGGTGAGATGTGGTAGTTCCTTAGATGATATGAAGCGTACAAACTCTGCCAGCCCAGAGGAAAGATAGGAGTGGCAGCAAGAGACAAATTTGGTTGAACTGTGGATGACCTTTCCTACAAGGGAGAGGAATGCAGAAAGTAGAAGCTGTTGGAGGATCAAGGAGACACGTAAACAAAGCCTAAACATAAATGCATACTTGTGACAAGTACAGAAATAACAGAAAGGGCCAACAACAATATTGGTCTGCTATGTGGAGAGGAGAGATGACTCTGCTAAGGCTGAAGTATTAAAAACCTCAACGCTTTTTTCTTTTTCAGTATGTCTTTATTAGAAGACTTGCTACAATCTGATGGCTAACCCAGTTAGTGCCAGTAATGAAAGGATAAGACCTCTGCTTTCAGTAGGGAAGGAGTAGATTGGAAAGTAGTTAGAAGTCAGATATTTTCAAAGTATCTGAGTGTGACAAACCTTGTTGTATCTGTATAAACAACTGCTTAGCATAATCTTGAGACCATTAGTACTTATTTTCAGGACCTCACAGAGAACAGGCAAACTACCGGAAAAATGGAGACAAATAAATGCAGTATCTGCGGAATCATGTATTTACCTTCAGAGCCCATATGGAGAGGATAAAGTGCAAAGTTAGTGGCTAGAATAATAAATTGAAGAAGCTCATAAATTATAAATTGGAAACCAGTCCGGTAATGTTGGAAGTCACTCTGCTATTCAGTACTTCAGGGCCTCAGAGCAGCCAGTATGAACGGTCTTCAAATGCTTGCTGGGATTGCCCCACTGGACATTGAAGAAGCAATCACATCATCAAGGACGTGAGGCTTCTCGTATATTGATTTTTCAGTAGCTATTGGCTGACTGAAACTAGAGGTATTTTCTCACTCTAATAGAACGGCATAAAAATCACGAAGAGTATAAATGCATAACACTCGCAGATCAACATAACCAATGCAAGGGGGGAAACGAACATTGATCTGTTGAACACCTGTCTTCAAGCATGGGAGACTAACAGATTAGTCAGCCTGGAAATGTTCAGAGACGATTCAACTGAAAATCAACAGCATGTAAAGAAGTGTGTTCAAGGGGAGGATATTTTAGTGATAAAAACGTGTAAATGTGAAGGACTAAAGACTTTAAAACACTTACTGATCTGTCTGCTTTTGCAACCAAGGTGTCAGTTGTTATCACATGCCCTGTTTTGGGAAAAATAGTATTTGAGGTGAAGGACAGGAAGAGAAGAAATCTGAGATGCTGTACAAAGCCTGACAACATTGCAAGCAAAGCAGAACTCAGACCGGTTGAGTTAAAAACTGACTAGAAGACTGTACACTGAATATTACATTTGTTTGAATATATTTATTAATAGCATGGATGACAAAAAAGCGTGTATACTTTTTAGGTGGCATGAAGCTGCAGGATTAGCATGTTGCCTTGAGAAATAGAGGAATGGCCATTCAATAGAGACAATTAGGAGGTTACACACTTGAACAGCGGAACTCAGTTGTACAAACACAAATGGAGGAGAGTGGGCAAGAGAGCAGATCAGCACAGAAAGATAAGATTACTCTTGCATACAAACTGAACATGAGTCAACAGCATTATGCTGTTGTAGGAAAGGCAGATGCATTAGTGGGATGTATAATGAAAAGGATGCCATGCAAAATGAAGTAATTGTGCATTTATCAGTATCTGCTTCAGTCACATTTGGAATAGCTACTTCTGGGTTTTGCGCGTTGGACCAACAGATAACGTGCTGACTACCAAGAATAATTACCCATCTAAATACTGTTTTGGGAGAAGAGATGTAATGAATGAATTTTAGAGAAGAGGAGGAGAAAAAAAAATGGCATCAATCTTCAAATGAGAGAAAGGAAATGGTCTCTTTCCATGTCTGCAGAGGATGAGGAAAAAACCGGACTAATTTTTCAGCAAAGGGGATTGAGTTCACATATTTGGAAAAACTGACAGTGAGACACTGGAATAAATTTTGAAAGAGCACAGAGTCTCAAAGAAAAATCCTGATATGATCCTTTCCCCATTTTGAAATGGCAATCTTGTTTCTTAAACCATTTCCTTTAGGGCTTATCTCCAGCTTGTCATAGTGACCTCTTCAGCAGACTGCCTCTTTTCAGCGAGCATTTGATGTTCATACATCCTTCTTTTTGTCAAAGAAGTTATTTAAAGCAATTTTTCTGTGTCTCCTCATTCTACGTGTTCATAGTTCTATGAGTAGCAATTACTGTATTTCTTCTTTGCTCCTTTCTTTTCTTTAAGCCTCTTTTTTACTCTCCCTGATCTATCAAAGAGGTGTTTCCGCACACACCAGGAGAGTTGGGGGCAGTCCACAAAGCAGTACTTTATTTCATTTTATTTACAACAATTTGTAATTCCTTATAGAGACATGGAATCACTTTGTCTTAGTGCTTTTGAATTGCTGCGGAATGATAAAAGACTGTATTTGGGAAGGATGACATGTGGGTCGAAGGCTTGCTGTTCCCAAGTGCGGGGCAGATGCCCACTTTGGAGTCAGTGGCAGGCACAGGCGTCCTGCCAGGGGATGGGAGGGTAAGCCAGGGGAGTAGCAACTGTCTCATCCTGACCTGTAGTAACAACGAAGGGAGAGCATGCGCTCTCGTGGCAGGACTTCAGGGGGACGCTGCAGAGTGTGTGTGACATGGGGACAGTCATTGAGAATCACAACGCCAAGACAAGGTGGGGTTTTTTGCCAAATCATAGTGGCAGAACACATTATAATTGATTATGTCATTGGTCTCTGAAAGTTAGGTATCGTTTCGGTTGAGTAGGGATTACATAAAATCTGAACTACAACAATCGTAAAAAACCCCACAGTACTGCATGCAAAAAATGAAATGTCAATAACTGGTTGGATTTTATTATAATTACAATTTATTACCGGCAAGTATTCAGAGGCTTTAAAGATGTGGTGCACAGATTTGGTCCTTGCATTGATGAGCCTACAGTTTACTTTTAGAACACCACTTTGTGCAAGAACAGCAAGGAGTAGAGTACAGGAGGAAGAAGGAGAATTACTTACAGTAAAACAAAAGCATTTTTTAAAGTTACCGGAGCTTCAGTTTCTTTTCAAGGGATCTATTAATTACTGAATCACATTTTAAACTATATAATTTCTTGTTTCATAGGTCTTAGACTTCAGTAATATGAAGAAAATACGTTGAATCATACATAGGTAGTTTTTTAGACTACAGTAGTATGAAGAAAGTATGTTAGCTCATGCATAAGCATAAGGGAAAATAAAAGCAGTAACTGTTATTTTTCTATATAACCATATGAAAACTCTTTTAGGCTCAGACACATGACCGTAATTCAGCAAAATTCTTTCTTTCAGAGTAAAAAGCACTTTGCTGACTAGAGGGAATAAAGTATTTGTTTATGTGCTTGATTTCCTATTAGGAGCTGTTCTTTTGCTGGTAGTGAAGTGCACATACTCAGCTGCAGTTATTGTTACAGGTTTTTTCTTCTTTTTAAACAAGTAATCCTTTATTAATATTTTAACAAAAACTTAAGCTGTTACTTGTATTTCCACTATAAAAACCTTTAATTAGTCTCTCTGTGTTTCAGGTGTATGGCCTGAAGGTTCAGATGGAACAGATATCAATGCTGTCTGTCGATCCCATGGGAGAAGACTGTTATCAACAGGGGATGATTTTGGCAAAGTACATCTCTTCTCATATCCATGTTCACAGTTTAGGGTAAGGTATTTCAAAAAAAATTTACTCTTGTAATTTGCACAAATGCATTCAGTGTTGTTTTCGTAGGTACCAAAAAAAAAAAAAAAGGAGAATGGGAATATGTATATGCCTAAGGGATTTACTTAAGGTTGATTGAGACTACAATTAAATTTAAAATTTCATTGAATATTAAAATACTTTTAAGAGAATGATGTGATGCCTTGCTTTCGTTGTCATATGAATGTTTTATTATAATATGTTTTTATGACAGTTTATAGTCTCACTAATGTGGTGTTTTCTAGGCTCCAAGCCATGTGTACGGTGGACATAGTAGTCATGTAACTAATGTAGATTTTCTCTGTGAAGACACCCATCTCATCTCCACAGGCGGAAAAGATACAAGTATTATGCAGTGGCGAGTCATTTAGAGGAAACATCAGTGTGAACATACACAGTTGGTTCGACCATGCACAGAACTTATGTATAAACTGTATATTTAAAACTTAACAGTATGTTTGCAGTTTAGCCTGGTCACTGTGATTTTTGTTTAAAAAATTCTTACAAACCTCAGGAAAATTAAGCCCTGTGCTGGTTACCTTACTCAGTCTAGTGATTTTTTTTTTCATTGTGTCACACCTTAAGAATGATCGTTTTCTCTTCTGTTGTACAATATACAATGCAGTACAAGTTTAATATAAGAAATGTGGCTTGGCAGTTTGCAATACAGTGGTATCAGCGGAATGTGACTATCTTAAATGTTTCTATAAACACTGCTAAATGGTCACAAAAATGCCTTTCAAAGACTGTATATATGTGCTTATTTGTTTCACTATCTACACTTTGTACTGTATATCTACTTACTTAGAAAAATCTATGACAGTGTTGAGGTACTGAATTGTTTCTGATGGAGGATGATGAATACATGCAAAAAGTATAAACCGAGATGTAAGATGCAAAAATTAGTGTTTCAGACCTGAAAATGTGAATGCTGGTAAATTTGCATTCTCTTGGGAATAGCACACCATGGGTATCACCGGTGAGGAGTTGTGTTCCCTTTCAAGTGAATCAGCAGGTTATGCCCCAGTTTGACCTGAATATCTCAGCAGGGTTTACAGATGTCTGTGTGGTTCAGGTATTCCATATGAGTTTAAATTAAAAATCTTTTTACTTGTATATGAACAATTTCTTTTTGAAAACAAAACAAAAAAGCTTGGCCACATCCCCATTATTGGTTGATATATTTAACTAATATGTATATTAATCAGCATGATGCTATATTGTACATGTATAAGATTTTAGCAGTTCATAACAAATGGTAAGGCAGTCTAGCTTTACTTTTTTATGCTTATGGATATTGTATATTTGTATTTTAAGACCAAGTAGACCAAGTCTAAAGATATCTTTTTAAGTGTACCATAAACCTGCAGAGGGTAAAGGAAGTCTTGGAAGCCTACATGAGATATTAATGTGTAACTTCTGACCCCTGTGTTTTGTGCATGGATGGATATTTATAGTATGAAATAAGATTGTGTTTTGCAATGAAGTAATAGTGGAGGTGGTATAAAATGGTTAAGAAGGCCTTACCAATGTTGATTGTGACACAGATTGAAATGTATTGTTTACTTTGAGGAATGTATCTGAAGAATTTTAAGAGAGAGGAGTTCTAAGTGGACTCGAAAAAGGTAATATTAAAATTTTGCTTGTAATGGACAGTAAACGTTCATTCTCTGAACTCTAAAGCACTGGTTGTTTAGAGTGGTTTAAGTGAAATGGAATCAATAAATTTTGAAACTTTTTTATTACATCTCCAACCTCCTACACTGAAAGTGCAGGACACCAATAAACATGTATTAAAGTGAATTTTCAATGTATTCTTCCTGTTTAGTTAAGTATCTTTGTTTCCACATGAAGCACTTGCTAGAAGAGACAGGCTTTTACTTAACGGTACACATTTGTGACTTCTTGATTAGAGCTGCATTTGAAAACCCTTGGGAATCAAACCTAGATTTGATAGGTTTCATGCATGAGCATGACTCTGGGAATGTGATCCCTAATGCACACGTGGAGAGTGAAGCTCCAGCTTCGCGGCAGGGCAGGAGGACGTGCCGCACGCTTTCACCTGCGCACTCCCTTGGTCCTGCCTCCCGGTACACATCACTTCTGAGCACTCGGCTGGTGGGGGAGCGTCCTTCCACTGCACAGGGCTGCGCCCGTGGCGAGAGCTCCCGACAATTCCTCTGTGGTAGGAACTTGTCCTCAGGCAAGACTTCTGCAGGCCAGGGTTTCAGGGTCGCTTTAAGCCGATGTTACTGAGCACTGTCACTGAAGGAAGAGGTCTCACCTCCTGCTGCTTATTCCCGGCCCGTGCAGCAGCACAAGAGTTACCGTGGCCATAGGGAGAAGCCAGCTGGGAGATGGGCCCAGGTTAAAAAAAAGACCAGGCAAGCAAAGAACAGCTACTACAAAACAGCAACTCCTCTTCCTCAGTTTCCTCATCGGGTTTAGCCATGCAGCTGTACGAATGCTTGTACTGAGCTTGTACGGAGGAAGGAGCAATGTGGAGAAGTAGCACATGGACAGAGGAGCATTGGAACTTCTTCTCATGGCGATGTCAGTCTCCCTCTGCTTGAAGTGGTGGAACTAAGGCATAATAAACCTACCCTGTCAAGGGTTAATCCGATCCCAGGAGGTCATAATACTCAGACGACAGGTTCTCCTCTTGTCTGGATACCTGGTTGATTATGCCACGATACCTTCTGTTTATTAACTTTTTTGCTTTTGCGGATGGGTTGCTTTCAGGTTTTCAGCTTTCAGAATTGCAGGTGATTTGTCACTACTTGCAGCAGAGAAAACAGGAGCTGCAAATTCAGTTGGCTTATTCCCTTTTCATCCTTCTCCTGCAGTGCTACTCTTGGGATGTAATAATGTATTTGTGATCCCCTTCTTTATTTTAAACTATTATCCCTTACAGGAAATAGATGAGGAATCCTGCAAGTTCATCCCTAGGGTTACTGATCAAAGGGGATTTTCAACAATCCCATCCCATCTGTGCCTCTGCTGCTCTTCTGTTTCTAACTTTTGCTATTAAATGTGTCTTTGTTCCTCTATGAAAACCTGATAAACGTATTAGCTGAATTAGAAAATGGTGGGTAATGTCTTGAGCCAAATATCTGATGGCTGTTAAAGTGATTTTGTATTTCTTTATCCAGGAAATTCTACAAAATTTCACTATTGTTATATATAATCTTCAGCTCTCCCCACTTCCACCCTTGTTCCTCAGTTCTTGCATTTATTTATTTTCTCGGGAGTGTCCTCTTTTTTTACTTGAAAAGAAAAAACAAACAAACAAAAAAATAAAAGAAAGAAAAGGTCTTCCTGAACTTTGCATATTTCATTCCCTCAGCAGCACCCGGGACTCTCACACCTGGTTCCTTCACCTGCTACTCTGTCTGCAGTAGTTGTCTTCTCCTGCCCTTCCGTGTCATGTAAGGCTGGTTCTCGAGTCCACGGCTGGAGTTAAGCCGGGCTTCTGCTTCTGCGCCTTCCTTCCTTCCCCTGATCTTGGCTGCAGCAGGTGTAGCGTTGCTCAGAGACTCATCTCCTCGTGTCTCTTGTGTATTGCTGTTTCTACCAAGCATTCAGCTACTCCCTTTCACCTTGCTTTGGTTTCAGTTCCTGTTTCTTTGCTTTTCTGCTGTTCGTTTCTAGCGTTGCTTTTCTGTGACTTCAGCTTCCAAGGACCACAGCCACCTTAGCCCTTACCTGCACATTTTGCTGCCCTTCACTGCGTATGAAACCGGTGGCCCTGACTGCCCCTCTGATCATTTTGGGGCTGAGTTCCTGGCTTCTTACTGTGCCTGTATCCACGCTGCTTCTTGGACTTGAACTTGCCAATACGAGTGACTTTGCGTCTGCTCTTAGCCCCTTCCTCCCTGCCCTCCCGCCCTCCACGTGTGAGAGTACTGAGGCCATCGACACCCTCTCGCTTCTCGGTTGTCCTCCGGTTGCCTGTGTGCCACCCTGTCATTTGAGGTATTTTAAGGGTAGGGATTTTTTTCTCTGTGGTATGGCGTTTAGCAACGGGACTGCGTGATCCTACGCTCCCTACAACAGTACGACTGTCATATTTGTCCAAAACGATGAGCATGTATACTTCTGTGTCAGGATATTCAAAGTAATTAGCTACTGATGTTGATAATAACTTTTCTCTAAGTCTTATTCAGAAAACAATACATATGCTTTCAAAAGATTTCTTCCTCCCTCTTCTATATGATTATAACACAAACATAGACTCAGTCTGTTTTTTAGGATCATCCCCCATTTTCAAGTAGAGGCTTTACATGATTTTGTTTACCTCTCCTGCCTGTTTTCATATGTTTATTTTACTCCTAAAGGACACACATTTGTATTATATCAAAACTACAGCCTTTTTCAACTTAATTCTGTATGTACTGTTTGAATTACTACCTGAAAAACAATTATTACGTAGATGCTTTTGGTAGTGCTCAGTTTTGACAGGTTGTTGAAACCTGACAGGTATTAACAATTTCCAGCAGATGAGCTCTACAAAATCCAGTTATTGTATTAAAAAGAATAAAATAAAAAAATGTAGAAAGGAGGTAAATGTAAGAGAAAGCAAATAATTTTTCAATGCTAGTAAGTTAAAAAAACCCCCACCATTTCAAATTATTAAAAAAATCCTGTCATGAAGCAAATAGTTTTTGCAAACTGGATTTTCTACCATTCTAATTAATACAAGGTTAATTAATACAAGGTCATATCTCCTATGTGAAATGTTTGGATGGAATTTGTTCTTCAAAAGAATTATTATTAGAGGATATTATTTCCCTTCAAAATTATTCATGTGACAAGAGGCTCGCAAGGGCAAACAGACCTTTTTTTGCAAGGGTTGGCATTTTTCGTTTCTTCAGGTTCAGCTCAGAGAAACAGGCATTGTTTCTCTATTGGAACGGTCTGTTCACTGTTGGAACGAGGGCTGTTGACAGATCACTCGACTGCATCCTCAAAAATCCTACAGATGGCAGGGAAAATGTCACTTTAATTACTTGCAAGAAGAACAGACTTACAAGAATCCCAAACAGAAATCTTTTTCTTCCCTTGCTGGCCGGGACTCGTAGCCGCGCTGGAGCGGTCCGATCGCTGCCATGCCACTCTTGCTGCTGCGGGCTGCCCTTCAGAAGAGATGCCCCAAGCCAGAGCATCTCTGAGTCCAAAAGATGGGAGATGAGGAGCTGACTCCTGAGGGGAAGGACAGAGTCGCTGCCAGGTCTGCCTGCTCCTGGACGGAGGCTGCTGGCTGCCGACGAGCGAGTACATTAGCGGCTCACGCTCTGCCTGGGAGAGATTTACGTTCCTCCTTAGTCGTGCAGTTCTGGGGCAATTTCATTTTTCTTAATGGAACAACTTTGCCCCCTGAATTCATTAAATAAGTCTAGGAGACTTAAGTGTTCGTTTACATGGAGGTATTGATGACAGTTCGGCAGAAGCTGCCATGTAGCCCCAAGTTTGGCAGACCTTATCTGTGTCAGTGGCGATACCGACGGACTCACGCATGACAGCTGCTGACTGTTGTCAATCAGGATGTTTCACAGTGTTGTGGGGTCCCCTTGGTCTTCTGCCAAACGTGGCAGTGTAAGAAGGTGCCTCCTTTTGTCAGAGCCACTACGCTGTTGGTGCCACCGGAGTCTGTAGGCGCTTCCTTGGGACCTTGCATTTTGTCCGTTTTTATGAAAGCTTGAGGTCTTGGACTCCATGAAAAGTGGTTTCTCCCCACCAGCTCCACAGTCCTACCTTAGCACAGGTTTGCTTTTACCATCTTCTGGCTCTCTGCAAACTATTTTAAATTAATTCAGATATTTCATGTGTAGTAGACATACCTGTACCGTAAAGGCCTCTTTGGGTCTAGTCTGAAGTGTTGAGGTTTTAGCCATGAGAATGGTGACCTGTTTTCTGGGTCTCCGTGCAAATGAACGGGTTTTTAGCAGGAGCTTCTAAGAGATGAACATTTTGAAAATCTGACCCTTGGACTTACCT